CGCGTCAAGCTGGTACCTCTGGGTGGGCTCGCGTGGTGGTCGAGTCTGTTGGGAGTACGTGAGCATGGGGACGATGAATTTCACGTACGCTCGGCTTCGACGTCAGCGACGACGCGGTTGGTGACCATAATGCGAAATCCGACTTGGTCGATCTGGTACGAATCGACGGCCGAGCGAATTTTCTCCAAGTACACCGTGGGTGAGTCGTTTCCGAGTCGAGGAGGGACCCCGAGGAGCATGCCCATCGTTTCCAACGACGCTTTGCCATCGCACGTGAGCGGCGCCAGCGCCAAGTCGGTCGACCGGACGAGCGTGATCCCGGTCGACACTTCGTCGAGGATCATGCTAGACACCAACAGCATGACACGACGACGACATGTCAAAGGGGGTGCACCAGCTCACGCCATGCGTCCGCATCTGGCCGTCGGTCAGCGGAACGATTTCGTCGTGGGAAACGTTGACGATTGTAAAGACGACTTGGCGGGGGGACGGGTCGAACCGGCGCAAGATAGACTGCTTGGACGTGCCGAGGAACGGATTGATCGAGTGAAAGTACACCAAGTCGCTGTCGACCCACTCGACCATCTACAGTCGACACCATAGATACGGATGCGACGGCGGGGTTTCTCTCGTACGGGCGACGACGCAATGCCTTGCGTAAAGAGCTTCCAGTACCCCTTGGCCACCTTGTCGATGCTGGCAAACACAGTGACCTGCACGCGCGAGCTCGTGCCGTCGACGACCTCGTTCGCTTCGTCGCGCCAAGTGCCACCGTCGACGGGCGACGTGTGCAGTGTGATTGTGACCTGGTCGTCCCCTTGGAACGAGTGATTCGGATGCTGCAGCACGGCCATGTGGAGCGCTCTCTCGGTGAGCCATCGGTACCCCTGGCGTCTGCACACCGGGTCGGCCACGAGCGTTGTTTCCATCCACGACGACCGCGAGAAGTTGGCCTAAACACGGTCGATGACATCGATCGACGTGGGGAAGCAGGGTACAGGGAGGGGCCGCTGCGCGGACAGCCACACTGCAAGCTCGCGAATGAGCCGCGTGCGCGCTTCGACGTGTTTGCGCAGGCGGTTCGAGTGCGACAGGAGCACATCGGTGGCCATCGCGAACGGTGCACGATAGCTTCGAGTGGACGGCGGCGCCTGTCGAAGGCGCTCCAGCTTCTTTTCCAGGTACTCGATCTCGACTTGGAGCTTGTGGGCGTCGGATTTGAGATTCGCGCGAAACGTGCGCATGCGCAGCCTCGCCGTGACCGCATTCGAGTCGCCCATGGTCGATGCCGACTGTGATCCAATCAGAGCGACGGAAATGCCAGCTCGGTCATATGGATAGTGGGCATTTTCGTGTGCAACCCGTCGAGTGAGTCGGCGAATGGCACTCACTCGACGGGCGTCCCGGCTCGAGCGGGTGAACGTAAACGTGTGGCAGCATGGGCGACGATGCAGCGACTGCTTCCCGATGACTTTGACACGTGAGAGGGAGGAGACCGAGGACGTGTCATGGCTGTCATTCGTCATCGAGTGTGGCACCTATGTCGCAGACAGCACACGTGACCGACTTTTGAGGGAGCGCGTCCCATAGGACCATTCTAGCATCGCGTTTTCGTGGAAAGATCACATGATTTGGAGCCACGCGCCTGTGCCATCGAGGCGACGCCTAGTCAACAAAGGGAGTACACGGGCTTGGTTGCGTGTACTGCTTACTGTGTTTTGCGATCGTGGCCGTGGTGGCCACGGACGATTTCTCGATGGGGGCATCCTGTGTGTCGTCAAGCAGCTTGTCATGCACGACAGTTCCACCCAACGCAGTCTGGATGGCCATCGCCCCCATGTGACAACGGGTCCATGCATCAGCTGGACTTGTGCACGTCGTGTGTGTGTGACTACGTTCCGGTATTCGCGGGCGACTGCATTGAAGGTGGCGCCCACCGTTGCGTGGCTGTGGGACTCGGAGGCAGCGTTAGGCGACGACTGGTCGTCGTCGGTGTGACTTGTCGACACGATCGAATCTGCCATGGCCGACCCGCGCAAGAGGGATGTGGTGCGCGCGTTTGCAGAGCCATGGGCACACAAGGCCTCGCTAAACGGGATCGACCAGCACGTTTGGTTGCATCCACAACCTGGAGGTTGCTCGAGGTTTTGATCCCACCTAGCGAGCGCCCGCTGCAAAAAGGAAAAGGGCGCGTGCGGTGGCCGCAACCTCTGCATCCACGCAGAGCGGCCGTCTCACAAACGAGGTGTGACCTGCCAGGGTGAAGGGCGGTCGGCGACACGCCGGCAGTGGGGATTGTCTCGTTCCAGCAAGCTCTGCAGCTTGTCACTGGAGCCTTGACACGATTGCGTTGAGCTCGTCCATGTCGGCGCGGGCGATCGCTCGGTGCTTGCAGCGGTTTTTCTTGTTGAAGTGGATCCGTAACAGCCAATCACAGGGGGCAAGAGAACGAGCCAATGAAAATTCAGAACGCACGAAATGCTGGCGGAGGAGACGGCGCGCGGACCGCGTGTAGACGAGCTGCCGATGCGGACTTGGACGAACGTGGTGAAGCCGCATGACACGCCATGAACTGTTTGGCACGAACGTTGCGACGACAGTGTCTCCCACGGGATCATCATGTGTTGTGTTTTTGGTTTGCTCGCATGGCCGAATTGCCCGCCGTCGTATCGTCAGGCGTTCGTCGTGGGCGAAACCCGACTCCTCGAAAATGTCGAAGTGGTGGGGCGACGGAGGCCCATCAAGGTGCTGCCCTCTTCCGGTGCTGCTCGAATGATGCATCCATGGGCGTCGTTCCCCGGTCGAACAGGGTCCGTGCGGAAGAAGTCTTGCAGCCCCTCCATTCTCTCGTGGATCAAGGAATATTTGTTCGTGGACACATGCCACCGTTGCGAATCGGCGAATGAGGAACAAAATATTGTTATGTTATCATGAAGGCACAGCCACGACGGCAACTAGCGGGGTGTCTTCACGAGTGACTTCGTCCACAACGGGCTCGACGCCCTTCAAGCGCTCGATCAGGTCTTCCAGGATCGTCCAGACAAGCCAGAGAAACACAGTGGGGGCGACAGCGTACACGGACACGGTATGGGGAGCAGTCGATTCGCGAAAGACCACCACAACCAACGCACTTATACAAAGGAGCGCCAAGGAGTAGATGCGGAAGGCGTACGCAGTCGCAGCAGGAGAAGGCTTGCCTTCGTGGTCATTGTGGGACAGAGAAGTTGTGATGGCGTCCTTGAACGAGTTGGGGACGACGAAGAGGAACGCGAGGGCCGCCACGGCCGCCACGGCAACCCACACGTGAACCACGTCGGCCACAGCTGCAGGGGAGACATGCCACAAGAGAGCAAAGCCGGCGGCGGACACGAGCAGGACGAGGACGCGCCACAGCGAGAACGCAGACATCGGGGGGAAGTTCGAAAATGACACGCAAGGAAGTATCGACAAAGATACCGTGCAGGTAAGCCATCGAATTACTGCTCCTCTCCATCGCCTGCATAGTATATGTGAAAAGAGGCATTAAATAGATGACTCTGGGCTGTGCACAGACCGCGCAGCTGAGAACGGGTCAAGCGTTACCGTACGAAATCGCGCAAAATAGAACAAATGGAGTCGAAATATACACTTTTGACCAGACACAGACAAAATACTTGCGTTCACAAAAGTGCCGCGTCCTCGAGGCAGCTGCCCGCGCCGCCGTGGACAAGAGAGCATGCACATGCATCCCAGGGTCACCGTGAGGGTTTTTTGGCGCTGCACAGCGGGCGTTGCTGGGCTCGGCTACACTACAGGAGAAGAGCATGACCCTTTATGCGGGGCCTAGTCTGGCCTTGTCACACTGTCCAGCCATGGGACGCCCGGTCAGCCACCTCGTCCAACGTGAACTTGGCTGTGGAGGGCACGCATTTCTTCATGTCGGTATTCAACGAGGTCCAACTGGCACACCAACAGTTGGTCCATCGAAAGCATATACCACCGATTCGATTATCGACGGCGACTGCGCGAGTCGCGATCTCGTTCGCGGCTTCTGTCTCGATCACTTCCTCGCCGACTGCTGCCTCTGCTTTCTCCACCTCGCTCACGACTTCGCTCCCGCGGGGTCTTTCGCTCTCGCGACCGCGATCGGCTCGACGCCCGCCCGGACCGTGACGATGGCGCCGACGAAGTCTTTCGGTCCGATTCTTTGTCTATTACAACAAATTGGGATGAGTCGACATGGCGCCTTCTTGTTCCAAAAGGGACCGCCGCGACCTACCTCGGGAGCGAGACCGCGATCGACGATGGTGCTCCGAAGGCTTCCCAGCTCCCCTCGACGACGACGAGGGGACGTCCTTTTCTTTAGGAGGTCGATGTGGAGGAACTTGCTGCGGGGGAGGTCCATTTGCCCATGGTGGCGGCGGTCCACCCCATCCGCCGCCACGTCCACCGCCAGGAGGCCCGCGAAACATGTGTGGTGGTGGGTGGTGAAGATGAGGCGGGGCTTTGCCTAAATATGTCCGCGTGAATGCTTGTTGAGGAAGGACAGAGCATTACCCATGGGGGGAGGTGGCAAGTACGCAGCCAATTCTGCCGCGGCTTTAGCCTTTTCCTTCTCTTCCGCTTCCTTCTCCTGTGCCTTCTTGTACGCCAACTCGCGGCGATTCTGTTGCTGCTTGATGCAGTATTCCTGGGACGGTGGGGTGAGGCAAGAAGGGTCCGTATAGAGGAAGGATGCATACTCTCCATGTGGACTCGTCAAAACCGTAGTTAAAGTAGTCGGAAATGTCGACTCCTGGCTTCCGCCACGGCTTGTCGTCGAGCACGTCAATGTCAACGTCGAATGCCGTGCGGCGGCCACCGATTCCCAAAAGCGCAAGTTCATCAAACGATGGGTCGAATTGCTAGTACGCATCCCATGAGCGTACGCGAATAGCAAACGTTCAGGCAAAGCCCGTTACCTCATGCGCAGGCCGGGCAGCAGGCTGTAGTTGCGGGCTCACATGGTCCCCTCGAACATATCTGTTGTCACCACGGGTGAAGCGGAGCTGGGGCTTGGATGGAGACTCGGTCGAAGCTTTCAGGACTATCGCGATGCCTTCCTCTTCTTCGAGTTCATCCTCGTCGTCGTCGTCTGGTGGAGTGGATGCCGAGACGGTCGCCTCGTTCATATTACCGTACAGCACGACATTGTCCTCTTCTTCTTCCTCTTCCTCCGCAGGAGCTGGAGCAGATGCCCCGCTTTTGGCGGTCGTCCCAGGTTGGTGATTCAACGAAGTCGGCAGGACGTCGTCGCCAAACTCTTCGTCGAACTCCTCGTCCATGCTCGTCGCGGTCGCCGTACAATCGCGCCCGTCCTCCTTGATTGAATACTCGTTTGTACAGGTTTCCCACGCCGAATTCCCTTGTTTGAGGGGATGGAATAAAACCCGTTTTATCCCCGCTCTCGGCAGGTTTGGACGCGTTTATTGCCCCCACCGAGTGTATACCGTGACGGTTTAAACGCGTTGATGTCCCTCGATACAAGCACGACGGCAATTCGGATAAGCGTCCGGATACCGAGGGCATATTTTGTTGGTGTACAGAAGTCGGGGGATTCACGACCAATCGTTGAAGAAAACGAGCGCCGGGCATTTACTTTCGTAAAACCTCCTTGCGTCAGGTAAGCCGCGATGAAGGATCGACGGTCGATGATGGAGCGTTCCGTGTAGAAACATGCCTCACTCCTTTGGTACCCGTGCGCGTACTCGCCACATGTATGCCCGTTCGTTCCGCCACCGCGGTATGATCAATATGTCGACGTACTTGCGTACGTTCAAGGTCGGTGACTACGTCGACATCAAGGCGAACGGTGCCGTCCACAAGGGGATGCCCCACAAGTTTTACCACGGCCGCACTGGACGTGTGTACAACGTGACCAAGCGTGCCGTCGGCGTCCGCGTGAACAAGGTGGTGGGCAACCGCATCATCCACAAGCACATCAACGTGCGTTTGGAACACGTGCACGCCTCCAAGTGCCGCCAAGATTTCTTGGACCGCGTCAAGGCCAACGAAATCAAGAAGAAGGAAGCCCGTGTTACGGGTGTCCGCCTCGCCATCAAGCGCGAACCTACCCAACCCAAGGCCGCGTACACCTTGAAAACCCAAGGGGTGCTCCCCGTGACGTTGGCCCCTCAACCTTTCGTCGACCTGATGTAAGCATGCGACGACAATGGACGGCGGATGGAACACCAAGGAGGCCAGTTAACGAACAAGCGTGTGTTTCGATAATGATACAACGCTTGCGAACCGAGACTCGAACAGGCGCAACTCGATTTCCTCTGCATTGCTGTGTTGAGTTGCCGCACATCACGAGATGTCCAGGGGTGGTCCCACGAGAAACTGGACGGTGCCCACGGACGAATCAGGAGGACGACGTCCGTGGTGCTACAATTCCCTCGGACTGTGCGATGGGACCAGGAAACGAGTTGAAGGCGTGCTGTGCTCACGGATACGATGGTCGGGGTGGACCTCATCATAGTCGTCGGATTAGATGCTCTCGCAAAGCCACGTTACGGCGCGTACCTCGTGCAGGACAACCGCACCCGCGTCGATGATATCAAAGTTTCAACGATGGAAGCTCGTCATGACTCCAGTGTACCATCAAAGAACGGTCTCTTCGATGTACTACCGCGTGTACCTCATCGAGTCCAATATTGCGTTCGTCGGCTCGTCGATCATGGCCGCGCACCCAGGACGTCCAGCGCCGCGAATTGAAGTTGGTGGCATCCGGAAACATTATCCGGATATGCTTGGCGCATGAAAACAACACAAGGATGAAGGTGGTGGCGCTCGTGAGCGGCGGCAAGGACAGCATCTACTCGATGATGAAGTGCGTGTCGTATGGCCATGAGATCGTGTGCTTGGCAACGTTACAGCCTCCGCATGCGAATGAAGAAGTCGACTCGTTCATGTTCCAGAGCATTGGCACCCACATCGTTGAGCACATTGCAACGTGCATGGACGTGCCGTGGGTTTCGCACACGCTTGAAGGCAAGTCTGTGTCGACCGAGATGGGGTACGACACGACAGAAGGCGACGAGGTCGAGGACCTCCTTTTGTTGCTGCAGCAAGTCCAACAAAAGTTTCCCGACGTGGACGCCGTGTCGAGTGGCGCCATCTTCTCCAACTACCAACGCACTCGTGTTGAGCATGTGTACACATTCCCACTCTCTTTGGCGCATCGTGATCGTTTTTCTAGCTGTGCACGGTTGAACTTGACGTCGTTGGCATACCTGTGGCGCCGCGATCAAGCGGACCTCATGCACGAAATGATTGAGCACGACGTGCATTCGATCTTGGTCAAAGTGGCGTCGATGGGTACGGCGCTTGTTGCAAGTGCGAGCTTCTCCAACTTGAATCTTTCGTAGGGCTGAGTCCCAAGAAGCATCTTGGGAAGAGTCTGGCCGACATGCACTCGACGTTTCTCGACCTGGTATCGTCCCGCAGGATGGGAGCACCGTCGACAACGATTCCAATGGTAGCATGACAAGTACCAGTTCCATATCTGTGGCGAAGGCGGCGAATACGAAACGCTGACCCTGGATTGCCCGCTCTACAAGAAGCGCCTCGTCATGTGCGTCCTGCTCCATCCTGTCTTGGGAATCGATCGATGCTTCCGTAGCGATCAAGCCCACATCCACGTCCACTCGGACGATATGTTTGCTCCAGTCGGGCTGTATTGTATCGACGCGGTCCATCTCGAAGACAAACACGGCGTTGGCCGCCCCGCGGACACTGGCGTCGCACGCTCGTCGCTGCCGCCGGCATTTCTTGCTTCGACCCACCCCCCGAGGTCGACTCCGTGTCCCACCATCAAATCGCATCGCTTCCGAGACCAAGTCGTGGTGTCTGGCCTCGCTTCGTCGACCTCTGCGTTATCGCTTTCGGACAAAGTCCTCGACGTGTTTCGCCAGCTCGAACGTACGTTTGTGCCACCCCATCGAGTGCCTCTCACTGCGCGCCCGCAGACGCTCTGGCACTGCACGCCATGCATTTGAAAGACGTCGTGTTTGTTCATGCATACGTCAAGGACATGGCGACGTTTCGCGACGTGAATGCCGCGTTTGCCGCGAATTTTCCAACGATGCCGCCCTCGCGGAGCTGCGTGCAGGTCCATTTGGCCGACGACGTTGTTCTCGACTGCTGGGCGTCGCGAGCCAAGCGAGAGTTGCTGCATGTTCGCAGCATCTCGGAATGGGCGCCAACCTGCATTGGTCCGTACAGCCAGGCGAACCAGGTCCGCAACACCTCATGCCAAACGAACCTCATCCTCGGCGCTGGGAGTAGCTGCACTCGTCGCTAATCGTCGTGGCGGGGCAGATTCCCCTCGTGCCAGCCACCATGGCACTCTCCGCCGTCCCGAACGACCTCTCGTTGGTACGTGTCATGGCGCTGCGAGAGTTGACTGCGACGACTAGTGTGTGGCGAATGTGCTGGCCGTGCTGGAAGCGTTCGAGTCCAACCTGCGCCATATCGTGATAACCCTAGTGTACAAAGCGACGGAACCGTCGGGACATGCCGAATATGACGCCGTTCGGTCCATGCTCGCGGGGAATTTGCACCGCCGCGACGAGTTCGAAGCCGAAGGAGACAGCGACGAGAGCGACGACGAAGTCGACAAAGTCGACGCCAAGCTCACTTTGTCGGTACGTGAAAAAGTCGTCGTTGGCGAGCGATCGACGGCTGGGTAGAGGGTGTCCCCGATATGCGTGGTGACGGTCCCGGCGCTGCCGAAAGGAGCACCGGTGGAAGTGGAAGCGGTCGCGATGGCCCACAAAGCGCTTCGTCTGTTCGATCCGAAGGGATACCACCAACGTCAGGAGATGCTCCTTCTTCGACCGCGTTGCTGAGAGAAGCATAGGTGACGACCAAGGAGGTCATAGCGACTGGACGATTGTCCCGCGCATGCTGTGCATGGGCTTTGTGTATGGGCCCGTGGGGGACGACGTTGGTTGGGACGTTCGTCGCCACGTCATGCGTGTTTTGGAATATGCCAACATGGCGTGGCACAGCATCCTCCACATGCGAGTGCATTACACCGGCGCGACTGCACCACGTAAGACGAGGTTGCCGCTGCCACTTGGGCTCATTGTGTCGTGGTAGGACTGGCCACGTGCGACGTCCCGATCACGTTTGTGCCTGTCGAGCACATCGCCGCTCCGTCGTCGTCGCCGCCGCCAACTCTTGCGATTCAAGTCACAGCGTACAACGGGGAGCTCATGGAGACCGACCTGTGGCTCGCCAAGCAAATCTAACTCACGATTTCACAATGTTCAAATGTCGCCCCCTGCGTACCTGTATAATCGAATACCTAGACCCGCCTGCCATATCTTGATTTGACGCACGCGATATATGGATTGTTATAGGAATTCAATTTCAACCAATGACATTTCATATTAAGGTTGAATTTCGACCAATCCAATCGCACATGCGCTTGGTTGGTTCGTGGCTCGAATGTGTCGTCGGTGCCAACCACTTTTGAACTTCCCAACAACACCCACCTCTTCATGTACGTTCGGCGCCGACTCCGCTTGTTGGACCTCCCTGCGTGTGCATCTCTCCCTTCCCCTGTGAAGAACGAGAGAGCTGGAAGTCCCTCAACCGGACCCCTTTCTTCAGGAACGGGTCCGTCTTGAGGGGCATCCATTGGAGGCAGATTCCGTCCGTGCGTGTGCCTCCTCATGGAGCCATGCCGACGTTCTGACCTTGGCATCGACACATGGACCTCACTTGTGTGCTTGTGTGTTTGCTCATGTAGCATGGTGCGCATGTCCGTTCTCGCCGATTGCCTCAAGACCATCTACAACGCTGAAAAGCGCGGCAAGCGCCAAGTCCTCGTGCGCCCTTCGTCGAAGGTGATCGTCAAGTTTTTGCAAACCATGCAAAAGAACGGGTACATTGGCGAATTTGAAATCGTCGACGACCACCGTGGTGGCAAGATCGTGGTGGAATTGCGCGGACGCATCAACAAGTGCGGTGTCATCTCGCCCCGCTTCGACGTCAAGCAGCACGACATTGAAAAGTGGATCAACAACTTGCTGCCTTCGCGCCAATTCGGGCACCTTGTTCTCTCCACGACCTACGGCATCATGGACCACAACGAAGCCCGCCGCAAGCAGACCGGTGGGAAGATCATTGGCTTTTTCTACTAAGCGCGTCAAGCTGGGTGGTTAACTCGAGTAATCCCAACACGGGTTGTTCAATATGACGTTGAAAATGTATTTATCTCATCGCGTGCCTGAAGTCGACCGATGTGCCGCCCTCATGCAGTACTGAAGTGAATCGGGCGATGACGAGGCGGTGGAGCTCCCATCACGTCTGCGTTTGGCGCTCTCGCATGCATTTGCTGGGGAGGCTCGATGCCGTAGTAGCACTCGAGGCCATCGTCGTTGGTCAGCGTTACGTCGGCACCTTTCGAGATCAAGTACGCGCCTAACGTCTCTCCGTATCCATACGCAAAGCAAAAGTGCAGCGGCGTGTTGCGCCGTTTCTACAGTCACAATCAAAAAATGCCGTGTCATCGCGACGATGTTCGTACATTGCACGCGTTGATGTTGGCGCCGCGACGGAGGAGCTCCTTTGTCAGCCGCTTGAGACCGTTCTGGCACGCGATAATGAGGAGAGTGTTGCCGTTCTCGTCTGTAATGTCCACTGGCAGTCCATTGTCCAGCACGGTCTTTACGTCGTCCACGCGGTTGTGTCGCACGAGCGAGAACACGTCGACGGGCTTGACAGGCTTTGCGAACGCAATGTCTTTGTAGTATGAGCGTTGAGGTTGCAACGCCAATGTCGGACGGGGAGGAGGACGGGCCGCGGTATCGTCTTCGCGTTCGTCCGAGGAGTACGATGTGTTTTCATGTCGAGGGGTGGAAAAGTCGAACAACTCCGAGTTGCTCGAGGTGGACCGAGCCGTGGTCGCAGCCGCCCCGCGAGGAGACGTGAACCGGTGATCTTCTACTGCAGGAGGTATCGGAGGAACATCTACAAAAGGAACGGCAACGGAAGGAATCGCTCCAATGCGCCGCGCTGCATGGCGCGGCGTTGAGAACTGCGTCGCCATCGCGAGACGATGCAGAAAATAGCACGCAGACGAATTCTATATTTAGACTACCCCATTTTGGCAATTTGGGTCCCAAATTTGGATACATTTTCAGCAATATTTGGCAAATTTTCTGTTCCTGTCAACATGGACTGTTTGGTGCAGGACGCCGGATGCACCGACGCGTCGGGGTTTCGGGGTTGTTGCGGGAATGGAAACCCCCTTGTTGAACGCGCCCCATGTCCCCCGACAACGCCGTCTGCGCGCGACCTCCATGTCGTCGCACTCGGTTCAGTATGCGTGAGCCGGGACCACGAACGACTCCCGAGGCAATCCACATGGAACGCGCGCTCTGATTCTCTATCACAACTCGCGTTTGGATTGGTTCAATGATTTCTTTTTGTCCAATCAAAGCTTCGAAATCCATGGAGTCGACGTTGTACTCTCGCGTCGCACGGCGTTCGCGCGGCGGTCGCGCCGACGAACGCATCGTCCATCGAACGCATCCGATGTGGGTTCACCCTCGTCGCGGCGTTTTCCCGAGCGGCCTACCCAGAGTTCACGTTGGAGCGGTGGATCTCAAGTCCTGTCGATAGACCCCCACGTGCATGGACGACGACTGCAAGCGCGCCACGGTGGAGCGAGTGCAACTGCGCTGACCAGATCAAGATCCATGTCATGCTTGCCATGAAGCGACCCATGGGACATTCCATGCGGCAGGACCTTGATGTACGCGTCGGAGCTGCCGTAGACGGTCATCTACATTGGCGGCGATGCGCCATGGCAAGATCTAGTACTGGATCGTTTGCTCTGGATCACTTGTACCTTCGCCTCTCACAACTGAACGACAGACACCCCGTACATGAACCGCCTTGAAGACAGCTCATCGCAAGTTCAGGAAGGATATGAGTGGCAAGAAGGGGAAAGGCGAGAGGTCCGCGTGCCGCCGCCTCCACCGTCCAACGAGAAGGCGGACTCGTTTCGTCGGGCGTCTCTCTCGCCCGGAACGATGCAATCACTGCCGGACTATGTCAAGGGCGCCGCATGTACCCCCGCTGGTCAATCCAGAATTCTCTCACGAATCGCAGGAAGGTACGGGCTGCCATGCACCACGAGTGGGCAAGCGAACGACAGAGCAGACGATCGAGCGGTCGGACGTGATTGTGAAAAGCCGCCACAATTCCGTTCCAAACTCAGATGCCGCGCAGGCGCGAAAAATTCCACATGGATGGTACCCGAGGTGCACGATGTATGCCATGGAGGTGCGTCCATGGCACACAACATGTAGCGACGGCACGAGTGGGTGGGTTTGCTCGCATCGGCCGCCGTGTGGCGACGCATGGCGGCCGGTGGGTTGCCCGGAGCGAGGATGTCCGCACGTCGCCCGGTGGACCAATGGCCGCGACACGACCGGGCAGTAATCCGCGACTGGACAGTTGTCCGGTGCACGTGCGAATCCACCAAATATTTCAACGCGGATCCGTCACAAGCATTCGAGCAACCGACCATGCGCGCGAGTTCCGCGGCGCTCGTGTGGCTCGCGGCTGCGGCCGAGCCATTCAACGCCCCCAACATCCACTACAACACGGACCATGGCATCGTCCGGCACGTGCTGGACCCTGCGTCGCAAAACACGCCATTGCACTTCAACCAACGACACCTGCGACCCCCGCCGCCGCGCATCCCACCCGAGTTTGACATCTTCATCGGCATCTCGGCGTACCGAGATGGCATCCGATGTGGGTTCACCCTCTTCACAGCGTTTTCCCGAGCGACCCACCCCGATCGAGTGCACGTTGGAGTGGTCGATCAAGTCCTGCCGACGGACCCGACGTGCATGGACGAGTACTGCAAGCTCGCGACGGTCCAGTGGGGCGAGTGCAAGCACAAAGACCAGATTACGATCGATGCGCGCGACGCTGGTCAGTCCCAAGGCCCGACGATCGCGCGCCATGCGCAGCAGCACCTCATTCGAGACGAAGAGTTTTGCCTCCAGCTGGACGCGCACAGCCAGGTGCTTCCGGACTGGGACACCAAGCTCGTCGCCGAGTGGGGTCGCACGGCCAACGAGATGGCAGTCTTGACGACGTACCCTCCCGGGTACCACATGATCGGACCCAACTTGACGTACCCGCATCTGTCGGCTTCCCATCTCTGCGACCACACGGCGCGGTCCGGCCCAGACATCGTTCCATTTGCCACGGGCATTGTGTACGTCGAGTACTCGGAGCGGCCGCAGCTGTCGGCGTTTTTTGGCGCCGGGCTGTCCTTTAGCAAGTGCCATGCCGAGCGGCGCGTTCCCGTCGACAACCAGACCCCGTGGCTCTTTTTTGGCGAAGAGTCGCTCCGGTCGTATGCGCTCTGGTCGAACGGGTACGATTTCTACAGCCCAAGTCGCCATGGGTCGGTGGTGTTTCACAACTGGACGAGTGATCCGAAGAAAGCCAGGTACGACTACAATTGTGGCGGACGACTCCCGCTGACGAGAATCGCCAAGGTTTGCAGACACCGCCCAGGACGATGAGGTCGCCGATCGGCGGCGGCGGCAGGAGGAAGAGAAGAGTCGAAATCGCGTCCGCGCCGTGCTCAAGCTGCCATTTCATGGCGACGTCGACACGACCAACTTTCACGTGTTTTACCGCGGGACCGTGCGCAGCGTCGACGCGTTCTTGGACTTTCACGGCGTGTCGAATGCCAACGTGAGTCTAGACCAAGAGCGATGCCACCAGCTGCACTGGGTGCCGTACGCCCAGCCTGACGATGTCGAGAAGCTGCTGCCGGGGTGGTACATGCACCAACTCATGGACAACACCAGCGCGGCATCGAACGAGGTCGACGATACCAGCCACGCCATCGACGTGTTGAAAGACCAAGTCAAGCAGAGTTTGACCGACGCGTTCAAGGGCCAGCTCGACGCCATTGCGCGCTCGGGCCACAATATCACGAGTCGAATCGAGATGCTGGCGCTCGAGGACGCCGACCAAAAGCACGTCTGGCTCGACCAACTCCAAGAGAAGCTTCGCATCGTGCAGTCGTTGGAGATCCAGCTCGAGAAATTCAACGACCGCACGACCCTCGAGTCGTTTTCGGAGATCATGCCGGCGCTCGTGGTGTTGGTCGCGTTGGCCTTGGTGGCGTTGGCGAACCGATGGCGACGAGCGCTCCATTCGTGTCGAGGGCCGACCAAGGACAACACGAATGGCATGTGATGCGTTGGACGAGAGGCGATTGTCGTCGAGAGGTAGACGCAAGGGACATGTATTCAACGTGAGGCGATGCCATGGCTTTTACCTTTGTCTTGTCCATGGAATGGCTCCAGAGTCCGGGTCCCATGCGTCGCTCGTGCCCATCCCGACGATGCGACCATCGGATTCATGAAGTGACGAGACAAATCGACGGCCCCGCCCTTGATGCGCTCGTCAACAAACGTGGTCTCCACTCGGCCATCCACCAACTCACTCGAAGATCGCCGCGGGAGGACATCCAACATCGAGTGCGCCAACCACACGATTGAACAAGAGCACAGTACTGGATCCACTCCACACGCTGCTGCAGGCGGTGACGACGTCGAGATCGCGACGATCGCGCGGTGACGACGTAGAGATTGCGACGACCGATGGCTCTCCTGGACACTTCTGTGTCAAGTCGTTGGGTCCCTCCATCATTCGCATGATGCGCTCGCCCATGTTTCGCCGCCTGCATGGACGACGAATATGGCCGTCGCCACCGTCCGCCACGTATGCCTTGGGTGTTTTCGACAACACTCTGCGTTGAATCGAAGCGCTCTCGTCCGAGCATGTCGATGGGGACTCGATGTCTTCCATCGACCTGTACATGGAGATGGTTCATTTTACTTGTCACTGGAATAGATCGCAATGAGCGAGTCCGTGGCCCCGGCGGCTAGAAGCAATCGATGCGGGTGAAACGCGAGGCAGCTGACTGGACCAATGCGCTAACGTGGTCGTGAGAGTCGTCGGGAAGACGAGCGACTTACTTCGCCGAGGAAGCCTTCGTGGTACCGAATCAGCGCGAGCTGCTCGCCGTCTTGGCGAAACACTTTGATAAACTGATTGTGCGATCCCGTCGCGTACAGCGGCGCAAAGTCGTGGACAGCCAGCGCCGTCATCGGCGACCGATGGGCCTCGAATGTCTTGACGCTTGCCTTTTGGTAGCGCAGGTCCCACAATTTGACGTCCCCCGACACAGACCCAGACAACAGCTCGTGCTTGGATCGATACAAGTGCGTTCCTGGCACCATCATCATCATCACGGCATTTCCATGACAAGGTCGTACCGACGATCCAACTCGAATGCTCCTTGAGCACCATCGGGGACTTGGCCCCTCGAACGTCAAAGAGCCGCACGGTGCCGTCGCCAAATCCCGCCGCCATGCACCCCATGACGTCGTCGCTGTGCAAACTCGTCACACACGCGTCCGTTTGAGTCGGCACCTACGATTCCGGTCGTTCGCATATTCAGGAGGCAGCACGACCCGTACCGCGATCGTGCACATTTCGTGGTCGAGCTGCCACCCTCGCAACGTGCTGCAGTTGCCGCCGGCAAAAAAGAGACCGGTTTGTTGCTGCCAGGTTGTGACAAGGCCCGAGCCGCGCGTGCCGGGGGTGAGATCGGGCACGGCGGCGAACGCGAGCACCATGTTGGACGACTCGTACACCTTGACAACGCCGTCGTCCGACCCACAGTACAGCAGCGACTGCGTTTCCTGGTTGAGCCAGCCCAACGCTGTCACGCGGGATCTAGACAGAGTGGGGACACGATCGACAGCCACGATGACGTACCCGACCGGGTTTTGGTTGCTGAACTGGAGCACGCGGTCGCTCGAGTCGACATTCCACACTGCGATCTGGTCCTTGTCATCGGCTACGACCAGCACGCTGCACAACATGGTCAGGAGATCCGCGCGCGATCGCAACGTGCCGCACCTGTCGTACGGGTGGAAGACCATGAGCGACGACATCTCGGACTTGCTGTTGAAGACGGCGCTTTGTCGCAAGTGGAGCCCGTAGTGGCGAATGTCTAGTCGGGTATGTGTCACGCGCGATGGCAGACCGAGGACCGCATACCGTCGTCTTTTTGAAGGGCCAAGTGGGTTGCCGTCGCTCGAATCGCGGCATACTTTCGACGTCGGTGCAAATGGAGCTGGCCTTCGGGGCTGAGGGGGTCGGTCGCTTCGTCCGGTGGAGGCTTTCCACGGTTGTATTCGGCGCTCGCCCAAGCGTACAACTTGCTCTGCAGTTGCGTGGGGAGCACGACCGCCGACAGAGCATTGTCGACGCTGGACATGCTGTCCAACGACTGCGACGGCCGCACGGACGACGCAGCGGACGGCGGCGTCTCGAGGTTGGGAAGAGAATTGTCTCGGGGAATGATCGAAGCGAGCGCGGCCGTCGGCACCCGCGTCAAGAGGATCTTGACCAGCGGCCGCAGCGCTGGGAACGGGTCGTTCTGTTGTACTTGCTTGAGCGCGCTCCAGACCGACGCAGCGGACGGGTCCAGCACGCTGCTGTTGTTGGACGTGTCAAAGAGCGCCACATTCCTTGGGTGGAGGACGACGCCAGCATACGCGACGATGCCTTCGCGGCGCACGAGCGGCGACGCGTCGAGCAAGCACCACGAGAACTGCAGCGCGAGGGATAGGTCCTGTCGAGGAAACGCGCCGAGAGCAAACACGGCCGACGCACGAACACTCGGACTCGGATCCGACGCGGCCAAGTGGAGCAGGGGCGGTGCAAACTGCCTCTCGAGCGCAGCGGCCGACGGGAGCTCGAAGCGCTCCCAACTCTTGCCCAACGTGAGGCACGCCCACAAGCGAACCATCGGGTTCGCGTCCGAGAGAAACGGGGTGACGGACCCTACATGCGGCAGCAGCGCTTGCTGGCCGAGGGTGAAGCCATCGCACAGACCGCTGAGCACAAACAGCGCCTGGATCTTCTGTGCGTCGGGGAGGAGAGGCGTGGTCAAGTGATGGAGAAAATAGAGGTGTCCGTCGACTTTGACGAGGTCGACCTGGCACGATTTGTCGAGGGCCATGATTTTGCACCAGATCGAGACAAGGACGTGGCGGAGTTCGGGGGCGGGGCTCTGCAGGAGCTTTTCCACGTACGGGAAGATGCCAACGTTGAGGGTAAGGTTGACGGCATACGGCCCGAGCTCAAAGAAGTCGGTGAGGAGGCACAGCGCGCGAAGGCGCAGCGCTTGGTTGAGCAGCATCTGGAGGATGATCGGGAGCTGCGGTGGCGGCGGTTTGGCAGGGGATCCGAACTCAAGCCACACTTCAAATGCAGTCAGTTGCTCGGCAAAGAAGCGGGAGTGGTGGAATGTAATATCGGCCGATGGACTCGCGGTCAGCACCGTGTTCAATGGCGGAGTCGACGGCGGGGCCATTGGCGATGGCGTGTGCAGCTGGGAGAGGCAGGTTTCCGCCGCCAAGTCCTAGACATGTCTCGAGGGAGTGGCGCGCGACCGACGTCGACGTACCCAGGACCGCCACAGCGGATGGTGCGACGTCGGCGGCAGCGCGGGAAGGGAGCATGGTGTGCACCCTTGCGACTTGAGGATGCGCTCGGCGAGCAAAAAGTTGCGAAACAGCGACGCTACGAGAAGATCCTGGCGAAAGAGTCGCTGGAAGAGAGCGGGAGGGAAGAGATTCCATGCGATGGTGTCGGTGATGGCCGTGAAAATCCAGTTGAGCTCCCCCAACGGCGTCTTTCGGTCAGTGAGTTTGCCTGGCGGCGGTCGTTAGCCCTGTGGAATGCGAGCGGCTGTACCTGGAATGCGATCGATCACACTCGGCTCGAGATGACCCATACTCTTCTCGTTCTGCGACAGAAACCACCGCAGCGCGACCGTGATGGGCGTCGTCAAGCACGATGTAAATACGTCGGCACATAGACTCGGGTGCATCGGAAGCACTTCGTTGGCGCCGCAAGCTGCGAGCAAGATCGCATCCGTCGACCGGAAGTGCTGCAAGAGGATGCCCGCGGCAGAGCAGTCGAACAAGTAGATGCTCGGCGTGCCAACCCACACCTGAAGCTCGTACACGAGGAGCGGGATGTACTGGGTGTAGCTCTTGTTGAACACCCAGATCTCGCCATTCGATGTCGGACGGGGCACGCCGTGGCCGTTGTAGTGGAATAGTACGCGGTCGTGTTTTGCGTGACGCCGCAGAGAGACGCAGAGCTGCTTGATCTCCTCGGCCGTGGGGTCCAGCGACTGCCGATATCGCGCGCGGGGTTGCCACCGCTCGTACTGCGACTGCAGGGTCTTGCCGATTGTCTCGAGGGCTTTCTGCGCTGGCATCGAGAAAGGTTCGACCCAACACTCCTTTCGCGCGCATGGAGTTGGCTTTACAATGTCCGGGGGATCTGTCCCGATGTTCAAACACAGCACGAGAGCCACGTCCATCGTTTTCAGTCGCGGGGTTACCATCCGCCACGGCACAACCTCTGGAGGTGGGTCGCTGTCCTCGTCATCACCCCAGAGAATTTTCGACAAATGCCTGTCTTCCATTGCATACGTCCGCGTCGGTGGTGCGGCACTGCCCCCTTCCGGGGTCGGGAGAAGCATCCCGCCACGTCCTGATGACGACGGTACAAACATGACGGGGAATATGGCCGTGCTTATTCGTCAAGATTCATTTATTAATATCGATAGATGATGCTTTTTGAATTCCACGACAAAAGATGACGAAAAAAAGAACTTTCACAGCCCAAATGTGCCATCGTCTTGAAATTTCTTTTCTGGCTACCGTACAGAGCAGTACTGCCGCAGGTCCAAAGCACTCGACACTCCAAAGCGTGGCGACAAACGAAGCTGGACATTCGATCAGCGCGTACTCCGTGCACAACAACTCGAGAAAGAATATGGACACACGTCACTCTCGTCTCTGAGTGGATTAATTTTGCAAATTTCATCAAAATTACAAGCGAAGGACAATATATATCCAAATGGACAAATTTTTCTCTTCTGGCGTTTATCTGGTTAAAAAGTGCTAACCCCGAAACCCCCCGAAAAATCCAGACTCGGTAAAGAAAAGATGAGTACTAGTAGCATATGTATCGGCAACGGCATCCACGAGGGGTGTACGTGCACGACCGGTGTTGCCCTATGCACCGTGCGGCACTGTCACTGCCAATGCATCCGCTTCGTTTGTTTCACGTTTGTAGCAGGAGCATCTAGGGTGTAGTAGATTTTTCTGTGAACGATATATTCTTCAATATATCAAAAATAAAAAAATACTTGTTCGTTAGATCCGGTTATCGAGAATGTGTTGACGGAATGTTGTCATGAGGCGCACCATGTAGTGGAGATTATGGAGCGTCGCAAGCATCATCGCGGTCGGCTCTTTGGCCTTGAAGAGATGGTGGATGTACCCAACCGAGTGCTGTGTACATGCTGGGCATGCGCACTCTGCATCAATAGGGCCCTTGTCCCCGGCGAACTTGCCGCGCACGACGTGGAGGGGGCCGCCTCGCGACGCCGAAAACAGCGTGCCATGTCGACCGGCGCGAGTGGGGAAGCACGAGTCAAACGTGTCGATCCCGAGAGGGACGCACTGGTGAAGCGATGGTTCATCTGCGATGCCGAGGAGATGGATCGGCTTCTCGTCGGGGAGGAACGGCCGCAAGAACGTCAGCAAGTCCATCATTTCGGTGCGATCTTTCCCCATGCTGCCGCCAATGGCGTGGCCGTCGAACGGGAGGGACGAAATGTACTCGGCGCTCATGCGTCGCAGGCGTTGGTCGATGCCGCCGTGGACGACGCCGTACATGGCTTGCTGATTGACGTGTTTCAGATGTTCATGAAGCGATCGCGCTTCCCACCGATGGGTGCGCATGACACTGGTTTCCTGACGTGCATGCACGAATGGAGTGGGGAATCACGGCAAACGGACGACTTACAAGTTTGTCTGGCGTGATGTGATATGGTGGCAGCTCGTCGAACGGGATAATGATGTCGGCGCCGTAAGCTTTCTGGATTTGGACACTGGACTCGGGAGTGAGCGAGATGCGGCGGCCATCCCGATACGACTTGAAAACCACGCCTTCCTCGGTGATCTTGACCACGGCCGACGTCGGGTTCGCCGCGCGGTACTTGCTGTGGGTGGACGACTTGCCCTTGAGCTCCTCGTGCACCGATCCGTACGCTAGTGAAAACACTTGAAAGCCTCCGCTGTCGGTGATGATCGGGCGAGAACGATTCATAAACGTGTGGAGCCCGCCGTGTTGTCGAATCACTTCAGGGCCGGGTTGAAGGAGCAAGTGGTACGAATTCGCAAACATGAGCTGTGCGCCGGATGCATCAGCTTGAGCTTGGGTCACGCCTTCGAAGGAACGTGAGCTCAGTTGTGACGACAACGCCGCGTTCGTTACCCTTCAGTGCTGCGTTGGTCCCGACAGGAACAAACCCGGGTGTGTCGATGACGCCGTGTGGAGTGTGGATGCGGCCGACGCGAGCCTTGGACTTGGTAGACTGGTGCACAATTTCAAATCGAAAGAAGTCCTTGGCCACATACGGCGGGAATGCCGACGACGGCGGTGGAGGCGGCGGGATCCGGTGGATGGCGCGCATGATTGTGAAAAAACACTGCACTTCCTATGACCGGTGTCTATTGGTTCATTTTTAGCCAATCAAACACAGAAAATCCTGGACAACGTAACTGATGCTGCCTTTCTAAACCCCGAAACGGATCGGTTTCACAGTTCGAGTGTGGCGCGCGCGCTGTGCGATTGAATTGGCTTGCCCCGTTTGACCATGGTGCTTGACATGACCCCTCCACAGAGCACGCGAGAAAGTGCGTTCCGTTCATCAGCGGGACTATGCGGCAATGCGAGAGAGGCAGCGTGTCGGGCCAAGGAGGATTCGTGATGCCGTCATAACGGGAGTCGCAAATGGCAGCCACAACTACACGTCAAAGCAATGGAGGATGTTGTGCCCCACACGCAGCGTTAGGATCAAAAGCTGCGGACATGCGAACTATAGATTGCTCGCTGTCCTGCGACCGCGATGAAATGTTGAAGCGACACCGAGTTCCAGCGTAGTGGAAGAACGACTAGCCGTGGACCATTCTCGGCCGCCGCTCGCAGGCCCGAGCGAACTTGTAGCACATGACGTTTGCTGTCAACACAATTCAAACCATGGTGAGTAGGCTCGTGCGGTGACCGATATCCCGTAGTGCACCTTGGTAGACGTTTTATTTGTATCGCTTACGTAGCACGGTTTAACAAGGTGTAGCGAATAGAGGGAGGCACGATGGCGCTGAGAGAAGCGGTGGCCATCGAAACGAAGAGACTGTTCAAGGAGACGTAGGACCTGTTGGGTTATCGCCATGACCATACAATTCACAACATCCACGAGCCACGTAATATCGTTAGCTGCGAAAGCGATTATTTACCACGGATCTCGAGGCTTGATAAGGTGCTCGATAAAGCCTGGCGTGTGGAGCTACAGCGCAATCGTCGAGAGCTATCGAATGGTAGGTTGCGGCAAAAATGGAGCGGGCGGTCGATCCTTGCCCCCGTGCATTGAAGTTTCTAGTAGCAGATTCACCACTTCGATGCGCCCCTTGCTGGCCAGCCCGTAAAGCCAACTAACCTACAAGAACCATCCTCGCCACCTTGTACATAGAGTGCAGAGACTCGCAGTACAGTTGCTGGGCAGATCTGCCAAGTACACAGGCTGCGAGAGAGGAGCAAGTGACTCGGTCACGAAAGCCATCTTGTAGGCATCGCCGTCAAAGATTCAAATGGCTTCGTGGCGTCCAAGCTCCCAATCCACGCGAAGTTTCCACTCAAAGGACGTAGACACGACGTGCGAAGGATCGAGGTTGTTGAAACGCAGCGCATCCCCTCCTCCGTACGACGCGGTTGGCCAACTGAAGGTGAGCTTCACGATGAGCTGCCACAAGTCGACCGTAGTGGGCCCGTTGAGATTTCCCAGCGTCGACGAATCCAATTATCTCGTCAGGCTCCGACAGGACCCAACGAAATCGGGAGTGTTGTCGGTATCATGTCCTTGCAGGATGGCTTCCATGGGCGTGGTGGCATAACCACAGTCCAAATGTGACCGCCGTTCGAGGCGGTTTATTGGACTTCGCGATGACCGTGAGGGTTGAATTCAAAAGCCACCGGGTCATCGTCCCTCCTGACAGCACACATAGCCACACCTCCCCATTCAGTGAAGGTATTGCACCTCGTGGCAATCATGCGGCTTCGAGGTTTACACGACCACTGGCACAGCTTACCCACTGTCCCATGTTTACTGTGGAGCATGGCCGCCTCAAGGGGTTTCGGGGTGGCCGACGCAAGGGAGTAATGACAGCCCATGCGAAGCCACAGCTCGTACGCAGCTGTGATATCGCTCGTGAATGCACACAAGAGGTCGCTGGTGGCGTACCAGGTCGCTATTCCTGCGACGAGAGGGTGACTGGCATCGATCGAGACGTGAAGGAAACACCTGAGGGTCCTTCGACAGTTTTGAGGTCGAGTTAGTCAAGCTCAGGAGAAAATGGCCGCAATGCCTCGATCGACTAGCAGGGAACGGCCGACCCACGGGGACGCCTTTTACCCAGTAGAACACAGCCAAAGTATGCCGAGGCGGGAGTTGGCAGGTTCGTTGGGGTGTGCAATGAAGAGCATGACGGTCGCGAAATGTGTGACGCCTACCTGGCGTCAATCGAGGTAACGGCGTAGCATCGCTGAATGACTTCAAGCCTGTCATGCATGCACCAGTAGGAAGAACAACTGAACATAGAAAATGTGTTTATCAACCATATCATTTCTCATTTCACTTCTCGATTTGCCTCCTTGGCCCTGAGGCGCTTGCTGCCTGTTACCCTCTGCCCGACCGTCGACCTGCACACAGCCACACATAAGTTCAAGAGGCTCTGAGCCATAGACTCGGGCAAACGCATAAAGTGGTTGAATGGCAAGCATCACCGCTACAGTGAAGCTCAACTAGCACAACTTCACCGTCTGGAAGACCAGTTTCCGCGGAAGACTCATGGCGACGGGTATGCACAATCAACTTACCGCATCGTTCAGCATGCAACTAAGAATCGACGACCAGAATGCTCTGGGGATCCTCATTGAGACGATCAAGCCCAGCCAATACTGCCATATTGAGGACATGAAGCATGTCGGCATAGACTACAAAGCACTCGTATCACGCATTCAGTCATGAACGAAGACTGATGGCATCCAAGTCGCGATGGAATGGGCCAAGCTCACCTGGAATCCGCGCCAGGAGACACTTTCGGACTTATCAACTGGCTTCAAATACTGGTGCGCCGCCTACACGAAGGACTCAAGGGTGAGTCCGAAGCCAGCCAAGTAGTGAAGCTACTTACCTTGATATCGTGGGAGTTCCGGCACCTTGTGGGCCGGTTGTCGATCTTGCCCGACGAAAAACAATCCGTCCCCAAGACTAAGGTCGTCCTTGAAGACGAATGAAAGGCCGCAGTTCGAAATGGCGTCATTATGCGCCGTGTGGCCATGCCAACGAAGATGTAGACGTGGCACACAACGCAACAACAGTCGTGAGCGGAGCCAAGGACGCGGCGCAACACGAAGTGACCATGCTGAACGGGGCGAACGCACATCTAAGAAGGGTACCTGTCACTACTGTGGCAAGGCAGGGTACAGGTACGTTGACTGCCGCTAGAAGGCTCGCAAGCGCGGCCTCCATGGAGCCAAAACGCGCAACACCAAGGGAGTTCACTTCAACACGGAGGTCTACATGTTCTCGATGTTCGAGAACGGACATGACCTAGAAATTGTCCACTCAAACGACGAATCAAAGGAGGACGAAAGCATCCAACCTACCGACGTAGATGCCTACAACACCGAACTAATCTACTTTGGGGAACTCGGCGAAGCCCTTCCACTCCGCACCGACCCAAACTGGTTACCTACGTGCCAACCGGTCAGACAACTGTCCATCGGGGGAATTCCATACAAGTTGACGTTTATGAGCCGCCAAGACCTTGCGGCTCCCCAAAACAAACCAATCCAAGACCAGACACATGCTTGGCGTTACCCCCGGCTCTGCCGTCGGTACCTGGTCACAGAGTACGACGTGAGAGCATTCGAATGCACCCTAGACGACGAGTCCTTGTACTGTATGTGGCATGGAGTCAAGGCTTACGAGACGTATATCGACGACAGAAAATTCCTCTTCCCCATCCTACGTTTCTAAGCACTTGCATGAACATCCGGGACACACACCAAAAATGCGTCGATCTTCTTGGCAGTGTGAATTGGCACATGTATTGTTGGAAGGTAAAGTTGATGGGCAGTTCCAACCGGATAAAATTTTCGGCCAATTGCTCGTCCAAGAGACCAAGATACACGGACGAATCAACTTATCCTTCCAACTTCACAAATGAACCACTTCCTTTCCAGCCAATGGCTCCCCACACAATAATGCTTTGGCGGCCACTTTCGAATGAGGGCGCAAGGCACTCGACGGAAATCGCCTCCCCAGGTCAACGACAAGCAACTCACACGCACATTTTGATCCAGACAAGTTAAATGGACTATCGTCAGTCCAAACAACTCATCTCCAGTCGTCAACGGTAAGCTTTTTGTACTTCACTTCACTGTGTATGGCAACCGCATTTTTGCTCCTTTTGAAGGAAACGGCTTGCGACGAGTCGCACACCCACGAAGACCCGTTTCCTCAATACGCCGGCGTATTGTAGAGTTCGAAGTGTCCATTTTGTGAAAGACTTCAAGCGTTTCACGCAAACAGTCGGCACTTAAACGTTGATTTTGTTGAACCGAGCGGACAATTATGCGGTCCTCGTGTTCTGTGGTAACACGTGGGCGACCAAAGCGAGGCCGAGTTGAATTTGTTCCATGGGTTTGGTAGCTTTCACAATCGACTGAATGGTAGCCTTACTCAGGCCCAAACTTTTGCAAATTTTCTAAGGGACTGTCCATCAGCGAGGCTTGTAACGACAAAATCTCGCAATTCATGCGAGTGGTGCTACTTTCCAGGTTTAGATCGACCATCAGTTGGATTCACCGCCATAGCAAACAACGAAGCGATGGAAACTTCAGCGCAAGACAGCTTGTGATTTACCGCGTTAACGGTTGGCCACGTATTCAATGTTTGGCGCCAATTTTTGTAAAATCGTATAAAGACTTTTGACATGGATAATCTATATTATCGACATTTGAGTCAATTTTTCACGACGATTCTTGCGCCAATCATACCGCACAATAAATCAAACTTGCTTTAGTCACTGTTGGCTTTCTAGAGTTCAAATTTCTGCTGTCGAAATGAGACAATGAAAATATGTCCACCGTTTGAAAACTTTGACACCCACCGTACTTTCATCCCATCGGCACCCCCGCCGACACCGAATCCGCATCCGCAAGCGAAGACGAAGCTGAGCCGGAGTTCGAGTTCGAGACCGAGTCGTCCCTCAAGTCTCCGCTAGCATCAAGAGTGAGAATGTTGTCGATACGTCATGTTCAGACGATAGTAACGACGAAGCCGACATGGCATTGTCGGTCAAACATTGCGACGCACCTATCATTGAACACCGTATCGTGATCGACTCCGGCGCTTCGGCACACATGACTGGCGCGACCGACCACTTGTACGCCAAGACGCCATGCAACCGTCAGGCCATCGCCCCCAACGGCGGAGTCACCACGGCAACGCTAACTGGCACCCCGAACTCAACATCAGCACGTCAACTCCGTCATCACTTACCTTAACCGACTTCCAGCTCATCAAGGGAATGACAACCATGAGTTTGTCCGTCCCGGCCATGATGCGCGCCAACCCTAAGGTTCATGTGGAATACCAGCGCGACGCGTATGTTGGCGTCTGAGGCCGCCCTTGCATCGGATGCTGGTGTAAGTGACAAGGAGATTGGTCCGAATAGTGAATCTGAATATGGTGTTAGATGTCTGCATTGGAAAATTTGGCAGAATTGGCAAGTGCCTTGTTTTGACTGTCATTATACCTGTTGTGTTTCATGGTACAATTCGTTAGTAAAGGTCATCTTTTGTTAGAATTTCCTTGAAACAGGGCCTTTTTATTTGCTATTCGGAAATTGCACGAATTCATTTCGTTGTGGCTCTCTGTAGACGAAAACTGAACACATCCTCAGCGACATAGTCAGTTTGATCGCAAATTGGATACGTGAATGTGAGCGGATGGCACATCTCTCGTCAGTCATCAAGTTTTTGGGTTAGAGGTCTAAAGAATACGAAAAGACAATGACTCGCGGCGAACGTCGCTGATAGCCGTTTGAAAGGTCACCTTCAACTTTCGTTTGCAATTAATCCGGATAACAGGTCAATATTGCCCACTTCAATTGGATGTTCGGATAATGCCTGTCAGTTTTAATATCCGGATGTGCTGCTTACTTGAGAATACGAAAGATGGGACTTGACCCAGTTGCGCAGGTCGAAGGCAACGAAGATGCAGCAATGCTTCGCTGCAACCAAGCTTCGGAAATGTGGAGGATGAAGCTGCGCGCCCACGACAGTGTAGATGCTCAGAACCCCTTTGGGACGTGGTGTTCGGCTCAAGTGGTAGAGGTACAAAGGTTGAACGACAGGACGACGATATCACCACGCCTCGTAAACGTAGGCTACGCCGCAGTCCGTCGTGATTCGATACCACGGAATGAACTCTCATTGGGATGAAAGGCTACCTCGGGACTCCGCTCGTCTTGCTTCGTCTTCGACTCATGTACGAGCCCATACTTCACGAGTGGAAACTTGATCTGAACAAGGCTCGGAACGACAACTTGCCTATTGCCTTGGGGACCCCGGTGCACGTTTTCGATAACTCATCATGGCGAGAAGCTCACGTGACATGTGTCTGCGTCGACCACGTCCGAGTTTTACCAACAGGTAGTAGTCAACGACAATCCGCAATGTCCCATGAAGCGATTTCCTGTCCAGATTCTCCCACGGAAGTATGGCTGCCGTTTACCCCCCACTCTATCACGCCGTCCGAGAAACAGCGCACACGTCGCATCCTCCACTCCAACTCTTGTTTTGAGCACTACGTCCATGCCCTGCGACAGATCAATATGCGGCTATTTGCCGTCGACGGGGACGGGAACTGTCTGTTCCGCGCCGTGAGCCATCAGTTGTACGGAGACGATCGGCACCACGGCATCGTCCGTCGGTTCTGCATGGACTACATGGAGCTCCAGCAAAGTTTCTTCGAACCGTTTATCGTGGGTGACATGACCGCCTTCCAGCGCTACGTGCGGTACAAGCGGCAGGACGCAGTGTGGGGCGACGACCCTGAGCTCCAGGTACATCCAACGGCATCGTTCGCATTGCCCAGATGTGTGTGTGCATCAGGCCATTTGCGAGCTGTACGACCGACCTGCTCAAGTGTTTGCGTACGATGCGTCGGCCGGTGCCAAACGACTTCGGGTATTTCACGACACTCAAACGCGGCCTCCAATCTGGTACCAACCACCGCGCCTTCGTTTTGATGATCGGTGCTGCGTTAGTTTGAGCTTTTACGGTGGCGGTCACTACGATTCTGTTGTTGGTCCATCGCACCGAGCAAACTTGTTGGCGTACGTCATCGTGCGAGAAAGCACGACGGATGACGAGGCAGTAGGGACGAGCCTGGGGCGTACGAGGCACGAAAAATCGCGTTGGCCCAGCACAAGCAGTGGAGTGACGAAGAAGCGTCGGTGCTTGAGGTCCGTATGGCGGACGATCGGTGTTGTCATGGATGCATCTAGTTGTCGCGCAAAGAGTTTGGAGGCTCCACTATGACGTTGGAGGCGGCGTTGGCGGCGTCATGTGAGGCGTACGATGCCGAGGTAGCGAAGCGCATCGATGTGGCCGCGATCGAAACCGTGCGAGCCGAGAGCGAGCTCCACCAACTTCAGGTTCGTGTTGGTGCGCCATGGAGACTATGACCGTCCCTCCAGAACGAAATGCTGCAATGCGTGGCCAAGCAGAGCGAGGAGGAACTGCTACAAGCCGCGCTGGAGGCATCGATGGACCCGGTGCGCGATCGTGTGTGTGTGTCGAATGGGCTGTCCACAACAAGTTGTAGTACCAAGACGAACTCGAGGTCGCTCTGGCGCTGTCGACAAACGGCATGGACGCGTACGCAATCGACGCTTTTGACGAAGAAGAAGCTGAGATGCAGCGGGCAATTCAGATGTCGATGCTGCAGTAACACGACCGAGGGTGCCGAGGAATTGTAACATTACGACAACACACTAGATGAACCTAGCTCTCGTTGTATCGGGAACGGTCCACGATTTAGGTCATCGAGACATCGTCCGTCGCGTCCGCCACTTCCACGGCATCGATCTACAGCATGCCAGTCAAAACAAGCAGGAAGCAGCGCGCCTGGATGGGACGTACGTATGGCTGCAATGCCGCGCCTTCAATGATCGTAAACGACTGGTTCACCCCCACGACTGACACAGAGATGTTGGTCGCAGACAACTCCTGGTTGCCTTCCAAACAGCCTCGAATAGCTTGCAGCGCGTGCTTGATCAGGTCGTCCTTGCCCACTACAATTTGTCTCAACCGAGAACACATACGATGGGGAATATACATGTAGGAAACGATTGGAAATGCTTCTCCAAGTATGTGCGAGCCGACTGCGACCGGGCGCCAATGGCAATGCCGTTGTACTCGTAGTAATTGCCGGAAGGGCACGTCTGGAAGAGATGAGGACCATTTTTCTAGCAACACGTCGTGAAAATCAAATGAAAGCGACGAAACATCGTACATCCACGCCAGCAACAAGCAGACCCACGCCATAAGGACGTCGGACGTAGGACTGTGTGCACTCTTGCTTCTTGTCGGCAACATCGCTGACGAGACGAGCGACGGGAAGCGCGCTGCCGTAGACGAACTTGTGGTTGAGTGCTTCCGTGCGCATGAACCGTGCCAACGAACGCGCGTCTGCAGTCAATCCAGCGATAGCAATGCCCATGTGGGTGTCGATTTCGAACAACTTTTTCGTCGGGTCGGCCAGCTGCTCCGATTGAACGCGCTTGATCGCAGCCAAAACGACGGTCGAGTTGCTGCGAAGACCAAGACAGGCAGAACCTTGCTTGACTGCCTCCATGGCGTAGTCTATCTGATGCAGATGGCCTTGGGGACTCCACACAGTCACGTCCGTGTCATACTGATTGCGGAACATCGCGCTTCTTCCTTCGGTTCTCCGCCTCAAAAATGTGCGATTGGGGGAGTTGCATATCTTCCTCTCAAAATAAATACTAATTATCACAGTTTAGGACTTCAACAGTGCGTGCAAGCGCGCCTACCATAGCATCATGAATCTGAACGAGCCCTCCACAAATCTCGACAAGCGCTTTGGATCGACTACCAGAACAAATTCCAGTACACCTGGCCCTGTTTTCAGCCAGCGCGATGGTGACTTTGACGGACTTGTACCAGCTAAAGCCTCTCCCATGTCGAGGCAATCTCCCGTTTTCGTGCGTGATTTTGCCTTTATATCAAATAAATGATTCTTTATCTATTTCATAACAACCACATGTTTCATCCGTATCCGGATAACGTTGACAGAAAGTGTCAATGGGCGGGCGCAGTTTGGAAGTTCCCTGAAGTCGTCGGGTGGTGGTTGCTCGCATCATGGCTCGCGTCGTTATCCCTCTCGTGGCGCTTGCTATCTCGTCCGTCTTGTTTGCCGCCGTCCGTCGACGAGCTAAGAAGGAGCGCCCGTTCCCGTCGGTCCGTACGCCGATCAAGCGCGTCCCGCTGGACGAATTGCCCAAGCTCAAGAACGATCTGGTCATCCGAGCGTATTTGGGCCAACCTACTGAGCGCGTCCCCGTGTGGTGCATGCGTCAAGCCGGTCGTCACTTGCCGGAATTCCGTGCTTTGCGCCAAGCGGGCTACGATTTCTTCACTGTACGGTCGCCCCACCTGGGATGCATGATCTTGAAAGATGCTGTAGATGTGCGGTGTTCCTGAACTCGCGGCCGAAGTTACGTTGCAGCCCGTGCGCCGTTACAACGTCGACGCCGCCATCATTTTCAGCGACATCCTTGTCGTGCCCCAAGCGATGGGGATGGAAGTGGTGATGTTGCCTGGTGTGGGTCCGGTGCTCCCAGCGCCCTTGCGCACCCCCGCCGACTTGGACCGTCTCGTCGAGCACCCCGACATCGAAGCGACGCTGGGATACAACTTGGACGCGATCAACTTGACACGTCAACTCCTCAAGGGCCAAGTCCCTCTGATCGGGTTCTGTGGCGGTCCGTTCACGCTGTTTACGTACATGGTGGAAGGGGGCGCATCCAAGACCAAGTCAAAGGTCAAGACTTGGCTGTACAACCACCCGGAAGCCGCCCATCGCGCGCTTCACGCGATCACAGACGTGTGCGTTCGCTTCCTGTTAGAGCAGCATGCCGCCGGTGCGCAAGCGCTCCAGGTTTTTGAGAGCGTCGGTGCCGAGGTGTTGACCCAGGCGCACTTTTACGAGTTTGCATTCACGTACATGGCTCAAATTGCCGATCGTGTCAAGGATAAGCTCCCGGACGTGCCGCTCGTTGGGTTCTCCAAGGGCACGCCGTACGCGTTTGAGCAACTGGCCACAACCAAGTACGACTGCCTTGGGTTGGACTGGACAATGGATCCTGTCGCAGTGCGGCAGCAGACCGGCGACCGCGTGAGTCTCCAGGGAAACCTGGACTCTGCCGCCATCTATGCCGAGCCAGAGACCATTCGCAACGAAGTCAAGAAGATGCTCGATGCGTTCGGGACGCAAAAGTACGTGGCCAACTTTGGCCACGGGTGCAACCCAGACTTTGACCCGGAGCGAGTCGACACGTTTGTCAAGGCAGTCCAACAGCTCTCGTTACAATAGGCGACGTAAACGCACCACGTCGAACCAACGTTGGAGAGTGCCATGAACGATTTATTCAGAGGGGCTTGACGTTGAGGGCATCGGCAAATACCTAGTTCACCATGACGAACGCCATGCTACGGCAAACTGACCGTGAACATGGAGCTCACGCTCTCCATTCGCTGGGTCTGCTCCCGCTCCAGGGCATACAATTGGGTCTTTAGCGCGTCGACTTGGTTCGCCACTGCGGCGAACTTGACGCCCAACTGGTCTGCCTTGCGACCGACCCCACATACCTCTGCCTGCGCTCGACGCATGAGCGCGATTCGTGCCACGTGTGCGTACCTGGGCGTGATGGAAGCCATCGTCCACAGCGCTCGTGAGCCGAATCTGCTGTGTTTGGACGGTACTCAGTGCCTGTTCCATCATGTGGAGGTCGTCTAGCCGTTGCTGCGCAAACGCTTTCAAGTCACGTTGGTGTAACGCAGCAGACACTTCAAACCCATGCAGCTGGTCGCTGATGCTCTCGACTTGTTTTTGCCATTGCGTCCGCAACGTCGCGGCTTCGTCTGCCATGGTTTTGGCCCGATTTGTATGGTCGTGGCGGAGTTCGTGGACGCGATCCTTGGTGTCCATCACGTCGCGCTGCAGCGACTGCATCCACTCGACGTTGTGGCTGTGGCTGGCTTTGAGGATTTCGTTGTCTTTGGCCCAATCCCTGTGTTGTATTGCGGGTGAAATGAGCCAGCGGGAGATAGAATTCTCGTTTACCGCTCTTTCAGATTCCACACCTCCCACGTACGCTTGACGGTGTCGAGCTCACGCGACGCCGACGTAAACTGTTCTCGTTGCCGGTCGACCTCGACTTCCAGCGCTTGCAGTCGTCGATTCGCATCCTTGCGCACGTTGTCTACCTGTCCAGCGTGTCAATTCCTTTCACACGAGCCCGTAGCATTCGCTACCTCGGCCATCAAGACGTCCGAAAGAGTTTCGAACGCTTGTTTGAGCGCTCCCAGCTGCGTGCTAAAGTACGCAAACGTCGCTTGCGACTCGAGTTCAAGGTGGAGTTGTTCCGCGGCGTCTTTTTGAAGTGCCTTGATCTAAACCAGATCCTGTCAGCGCTAACCGTCAGGAGCTCCTTACAGCTTGGCGGATTTGGTTCAAGTCGGACAGGGGTTTCTTGGCTTTGGCGAGCTGCGATGCTGTCTCTCGCAGCGCCGTCGTCATGGCGTTTGTGCCGCCTCGCGTCGGTTCAAGATACCCTGTGAAAAAGCATACATCCTGCAAACCCTTCCGAATAAATACATGCCTTTTGAAAGGTGAGGTGTTGAAAAACCTCGTATAGTTTATACTGCAAATCGTATCAATGATGGGACAACCGGTGTATCTGGACGACGGCTTTCGCCGCTGCCTTGAGGGAATGCCGCTTGCTCAGAGTCTTGAGGCCAGAGATCGCCGCGCTCAGGGGCACCGTAGCGTCGTTGGCAGTCTGCATCCACGTGTGCTTGAGTAGTTCCTCCGCGGATGCACTGTCAAGGACCATGACGACTCATAGCATGTTCATGGACCACTTACCGTTTGGAGGGATCGACGACGAGTGCAGCCTTTACGAATGCTTTGGCGCTTGGCGAGATGTCGTCCCAATACGGGGACTCAAACGTGTACACTCCTTTCTTGATCTTCTTGAACATTTGCGACGGGTTGTCGTCGTAGAATGGGAGGTAGCCGCTCAAAAGTGCGAACGTAATCACGCCGATGCTCCACACATCCACAGCTTTGTTGTACAGACCACGTTCGCCCAACAGCACTTCGGGTGCCACGTAGGCCGGGGACCCGCACATGGTCGTGAGGTAAGAGTCGTCCTTTGCCAAGCCAAAGTCGGCGATTTTTACAACGGCCGTGTGGTCGTCGTGACTGCTAAGCAGGATGTTCTCGGGCTAGTTACGAGTACGATAAGGACACGCTGTGCTGATGGAAGCAAGTACCTTGAGGTCGCGATGGACAATGTGCTTGGCATGGCAGTACGCGACGGCGTCGACAATGGCGTGGACGACGTCCTTCGCTTCACGTTCGGTGTACACAGACTAGAAGCAGAGTTAGTTCAACCTCTTTTCACTCCCTGTACACCTTTTCAACAATGCGGTCGAACAAATCGCCGCCTTCCATGAGGTCCGTCACAATGTATCCTGCGGTCGCTTCAAGGAAGAAGGCATTGCACGAAATCACGTTTGGGTGATGGAGTTGTTGCAAAATGTTCACCTCGCGCTCAATGTTTTGAAGTTCCTGCGGCGAAATATTGCGCAAGTCCAAACACTTGGCGGCGTACACAGTGCCGGACGCGATGTGGACACATTTGCGCACAACCGAGAACGCGCCTTCACCTAGCTTCTCTCCCAGTTGGTACTGCGACCCAAACGTAGCTTTAACACCCTTGGGCCTCAGGATGGACTGCTTTTGGGCGTTGCCAGTCGCGTCTGGAGGACAGATGAAGGACCACTCGCACCCCATGTTCGCTACTGGCTGTGACTCTGTCGGTCGCGCAGCTCTCAAGTGTGGAAAATGCGATATCCGGAATTCCGGATGGCTTGCAGCTGTTGTGTTCCTCAATCCTTCGGTTTATATTGTAAATTTTTGCCAAATTTGCCGAATGAGTTCGATCCAACTGGCCAGTGAGAATCTCCGGAAAACCGCCGCTTCGATATTATTGGCTATAAATGTGAGATGATTGTACCTTTCCTCATTGCAAATCAAAACTTTCAACGCAGTCACCAGCTGACATTCCCCCTCACGTCTCCTTTTCACACTTCCATGGACGACATCGTGACAAAGCAACATGCACACCCGAATACTGTTTTCCATTGTTTGTACGGGTTCTTCAACCTCGGGTACACGAGACACCAGCTTGCGGCTGTGTACAACAAGTCGGAGAGGACAATCGGCAACTGGATTCGCGTCTATCAAGAGATGGGGACGTATGAACGATCGAACGGGACCGTGGATCGAAAGTTTACTGTTGCACAGCGACTTTGGCTGCGGGACTTCTACGAGCGACGTCCACTTGCGTACTTGGACGAGGCACAGGCCGAGTTCAAGAGAGTTCACCACATGGACATTTCAAAATCTACTGTTTGGCGAATCATCCCCGACTTTGGCCTAACGTGGAAAGTATTGGAGCGTCGCGCTATGCACATAAAGGAGAAAAACGTGTTCCGCTTTGTCAAAGAAATGGACAGCATCGACTGGAGTCGTCAAACCTCGTCTTTTTGGACGAAGCATCGTTTGACAATCGTGGAGTGATCCGCAAGAGGGGCTACGCTCTCAAAGGAACAATGTTGGCCATACGAGGCGATTTTCAACGCAAGCCGAGAGTATCAATTTTGGCATTCATCGGCGTCATTGGACTCATTGACTACAGTGAACGGGGGAATTTAAGCTACACCCCGAATCGAAGTGAAGGGCTTTCTGGCAATATGATTGGTGGGTATACTTCGAAGTTCGACACATAATGTGACCAATCAAACTCCCTCAAAATCCGTCAGGAAAATTTGAAATAAATATGAAAACAAGGGGACGTGAAGTTGAGTATACAGTATACAAATCTAAATTAAATATTAAAGATATTGACATGAAACCACGACGAATCGCTTCGTCTCGTCAAGCCCTATCGATTGCACCTATTTTGAGCTCAAAATTTCTTGTTTGACCAAACGGCGATAAAAAAGATGAATTATTCCAATGGAAGAGCCTTAAGGAAGCTACCACGAACTTGCTGGGGTGATCAACTCCCAAGCTTTGATGGCTCGGTTGAACAAGGTCATTCTCTTCACTCGTGCAGTCGGTGAGTACCAGTCATCTTCATTGTCGTCACCATCCACTATGTCTTCCGCTATCCACAGGCGTTTGAACGGCGCCATTACGGAGATAGCAAGAGATTGGCAGTGGGAAGTAGCGTTAGCAGGTACTGACAGTGGCGGGCGTCATCGAGGGGACTTTTACTCCTTCATGTGAAAAAAATTTGCTACGATAGACTTGGAATACGTGAATCGAATCTGCATCGCGCGCTGGTTCGAAGCGTGCAATCAAATGATCCTGAAACACAATACCTTGCAAAATATTCTGCTCCAAAGTTG